ATCACCATTAAAGGTTTATAAGTATGCTTGCATTGTCCTAAGATTGGTGAAGGAGAAAAAGCAGGTGTGGCTGGAAGATTTTACTTCTGGGCTCGGCTGCAGTAATATGGGTGGCTAATTCATAGGTGCTAGAGATGAGTCACATCTAGTCAGTGTCCCGTCCGTCCCCCCCCACCCCCCTTCCCCGGATTATAGATTCATAGATATTAAGGTCAGAAGGGACCATTATGATCATCTAGTCTGACCTCCTGCACAATGCAGGCCATAGAATCTCACCCACCCGCTCCCGCGATAAACCTCTCACCTATGTCTGAGCTATCGAAGTCCTCAGATCATGGTTTAAAGACTTCAAGGAGCAGAGAATCCTGCAGCAAGTGACCCATGCTACAGAGGAAGGCGAAAAACCTCCAGGGCCTCTTCCAATCTGCCCTGGAGGAAAATGTTTTGCATTTAGAACTGATTTATTAAACAAAGCAAGTATTATCTGTAGTTAGTGAATTGAATTGATTGTTTCTAGTCACCATGTCGTTCAAGATAGTCATGGAACTGAACTAGCTGCATTCCCTATACTACATTTTTCTAGCCTCTTGGCAGGTAGAGGCTTGAATGTCTCAAGCTGTAGAGCTCTGACCATTTCCTGTGAGGGGTTCTCCCACATCCCAGGCTGTGTCAGTGTTCCTATGACATAGTTGGCATCACCGAGACTTGGTGGGTTAATACGCATGACTGGAATATTGGTATAGAAGGGTACAGCTTGCTCAGGAAGGACAGGCAGGGGAGAAAAGGGAGGAGGTGTTACCTTGTATATTAAAAGTGTATATGCTTGGACTGAGGTTGAGACGGAAATAGGAGACAAACTTATTGAAAGTGTCTGGGTAAGAATAAAAGGCGTAAAAAACAAGGGTGATGTCATGGTAGGGGTCTATTACAGGCCACCTAACCAGGAAGAAAAGGTGGATGAGGCCTGCTTGTTAGTTGTTTAAAAAAAAAAAAAAAAATCATCCAAATCACAGGACTTGGTGGTGCTGGGGGATTTCAACTACCCAGACATCTGTTGGGAAAATAACACAGTAGGGCACAGATTATCCAACATGTTCTTGAAATGTATTGGAGACCATTTTTTATTTCAGAAGGTGGAGAAAGCTACTGGGGGGAGGCTGTTCTAGATTTGATTTTGAGAAACTGGGAGGAACTGGTTGAGAATTTGAAGGTGAAAGGCAGCTTGGGTGAAAGTGATCATGAAATGGTAGAAGTCATGATTCTTAGGAATGGTAGGAAGGAGAACAGCAAAATAAAAACCAGGAACTTCAAGAAGGCAGATTTTAGCAAATTTAGGGAATTGGTAGGTAGGATCCCATGGGAAGCAAGTCTAAGGAAAAACAGTTGAAGTCAATCAGCAGTTTTTCAGAGAGACATTATTAAGGGCACAAGAACGAACAATCCCACTGCATAGGAAAGATAGGAAGTATGGCAAGAGACCACTCTGGCTTACCCAGGAGATCTTCAATGATCTAAAAAACAAAAAAGAGTCCTACAAAACTTGGAAACTAGGTCAAATTACAAAGACTAAATATAAACAAATAACACAAGTATGTAGGGACATCAGAAATGCCAAGGCACAAAACAAGATCAAATTAGCTAGAGACATAAAGGATAACAAGAAAATGTTCTACAAATACATTAGGAGCAAGACCAAGGCCAGGGTAGGCCCGTTACTCCGTGTTGGGAGGGAAAAACAATAAAAGAAAATGTGAAAGTGGCAGAGGTTCTTAATGACTTCTTTGTTTTGGTTTTCACCAAGAAGGTTTGTGGTGATTGGACATCTATCATAGTGAGTACCAGTGAAAATGAGGTAGGACCAGAAGCCAATCTAGGAAAAGAACAAGTTAAAAATTACTCAGACAAATTAGATATCTTCAAGTCACCAGGACCTGATGAAATGCATCCTAGAATATGCAAGGAGCTGACTGAGGAGATATCTGAGCCATTAGCAATTATCTTTGAAAAGTCATGGAAGACGGGAGAGATTCCAGAAGACTGGAAAAGGGCAAATATAGTGGCCATCTATAAAAAGGGAAATAAGGACAACCTGGGGAATTAGGACAACCTGGGGAATTACAGACCAGTCAGCTTAACGTCTCTACCCGGAAAGATAATGGAGCAACTAATTAAGCAATCAGTTTGCAAACATCTAGAAGATAAGGTGATAAGTAACAGTCAGCATGGATTTATCAAAAACAAATCGGGTCAAACCAACATGATAGCTTTCTTTGACAGTGTAACAAGCCCTGTGAAATGGGGGTGGGGGGGAATGGGGGAAGCAGTAGACGTGGTATATCTTGATTTTTAGTAAAGCTTTTGATATTGTCTTGCATGACCTGCTCATAAACAACCTAGGGAAATGCAACCTAGATGGGGCTACTATAAAGTGGGTGCAAAACTTTTCCCAAAACTGTTCCCAGAGAGTAGTTATCAGTGGTTCACAGTCATGCTGGAAGGGCATAATGAGTGGGGTTCCACAGGGATCAGTTCTGTTCAATATCTTCATCAATGGTTTAGATAATGGCATAGAAACTACACTTATAAAGTTTGCGGACGATACCAAGCTGGGAGGGGTTGCAAGTGCTTTGAAGGATAGGATTAAAATTCAGAATGATCTGGAGAAATGGTCTGAAGTAAATAGAATGAAATTCAATAAGGACAAATGCAAAGTACTCACATACAAAATGGGAAATGACTGCCTAGGAAGGAGTACTGCGGAAAGGGATCTGGGGGCCATAGTGGATCACAAGCTAAATATGACTCAACAATGTAACACTATTGCAAAAAAAGCAAACACCGTTATGGGATGTATTAGCAGGAGTGTTGTAAGCAAGACACAAGAAGTAATTCTTCCACTCTACCTTGTGTCTGTTAGGTTTCAGCTGGAGTATTGAGTCCAGTTCTGGGTTCCACATTTCAGGAAAAATGTGGACAAATTGGAGAAAGTCCAAAGAGCAAAAAAATAATGAAAGGTCTAAAAAACATGGCCTATGAGGGAAGATTGAAAAAAATTGGGTTTGTTTAATCCGGAAAAGAGAAGACTGAGAGGGGGACCTAACAGTTTTCAAGTACATAAAAGGTGGTTACAAGGAAGAGGGAGAAGAAATTGTTCTCCTTAACCTCTGAGGATAGGACATTGCAGCAAGGGAGGTTTAGGTTGGACATTAGGAAAAACTTCCTGTCAGGGTGGTTAAGCACTGGAATAAATTGCCTAGGGAGGTTGTGGAATCTCCATCATTGGAGATTTTTAAGAGCAGGTTAGACAAACGCCTGTCAGGAATGAATGCTCTAGGTAATACTTAGTCGTGCCATGAGTGTAGGGGACTGGACTAGATGACTTCTCAAGGTCCCTTCTAGTTCTATCATTCCTGTCTCTTTACTCATGCGAAAAGGTAAATTTGGGCTGTACTGGACAGCTGCTTAGAGCTAGGTTAGGTAGAGAGGTGTCGCTGTATTGGCACTGGCTTGGCCTGCGGGGGATTATAACTGTTGGTGTTGAAGGGATGTTGGTGTTGCTATGGCTAGGTTTTTGCTGGATTAAATGGTTTATGGCGGCAGTTGTCTTGTCAGATGCTGTTTATATGTGTGATTTATAGGGACAGTCTATCATGTTGATGGTCTCATTGTTTGATTGGGTGGAGGATGCAACTCTGTTATTTAGGACTGGCTGACTAGAATGGTGGCTTCATTGGTCTAGATATTGCTACACTGTTTAGGTCAAATTGGAACAGATGATACTTGGAGACAGAGGGAAGGGACTATAGAAGTACAAATTTTTACCACTCTTAATGAATTTAACCTCAAGTCACAACCCATGTTCCCTGTTTCACAGATGGGCTAACTGAGTTACTTCAGGTCGGACGGGAAGTCCGTGGTAGAGCTGGGAATAAAAACCAAGTCTCTTGATTCCCAATTGTGCTTTAACCACAATGCCATCCTTCCTGTGTAAATAGTAAAAGGCACATTGTGTCTTCAAACTGAACTTAGTAGAGTCGTGTATCTTGGTCAGAATGGATAGAGTGGGTAGAAGAAATAAGTCTGTAACAGGAGTTCTCTGTGTTTCTGCCGTGACACAGAATTTACCATAGAATCCAATGACTTGCTGTAGAATTGTGCTCTGGAATCTTAAGTTTTCATTTTATAAAGTAAAACTTGCTAGATGATGTGGTTGAAGATGGTTCCTTATGTGAACTGAACCTTAACTGATGTGATATATTTCTCAGTAGGGAGAGTGGAACTGATCAGTTCAGCAATGACCTCTTTGGCTATATGAGGAATAACTGGCAGCATCTGATGCTCAAAGATACCACCAAAAATGCAGCATGCCATGCTTTCAAATGGATAAGCCTCCACATGTAGACTGGTGTCTTACAGTGGAATGGTGGCCGGTGGAACATTAGATGAAGCTGCCTTACTGTCTCCTATTCTGACGCTGGCCTGATACTTCTCCTGACTGATCAAAGAGAGCACCCAGTTTTACCAGGCTATTGCATTTTCAGTCACATGTGGGCGGGCAGGCAGGCTGTCTGGCCTTGGTGGCAGGTATAATTGTGTAGAGCAGGGGTTGGCACAGGTAGCTGGGCTCGTGGAGTGAGGGGAAAGCAAACCCTTGAGCACTTAGGTGGATAAGGAAGTTGGGCATGTGTGGGCACTGTGCCAGTTCTTGGGAGTACAGATGGGCTCATGGGAATCAATCTAGCTGAACTGGGGGTGTGCCAAAGCAGGTCTAAGCTGTCCCTTGCTGCATTTGTTTATAACAAACATACTTGAACCAGTTAAACCTTACTGTGGCTCTCTCCCTGTAAAGGCTTTCTTAGCACTAACAAATCTTGCTGAGGTGAGCTGAAGCTTTCTTGTCAGCTGTTCAGAGAAAGCTTTGGTCTCCTTTCTGTGGCCTGGGAGGGGTCCAAAGGCTTGGGTATACTGTGATGGAGCTCTTCCCTTTTCTTCTTTTTCAGATAATCTTTCCTTGTGTGAGAAGGAGTCCTGAACTCATCACCTCTACGATGAGCACTGCAGTGTCGTGACACCAGAGGTCTTGGTGAGTTGCCTACAGGGAAGATGCTGGGTCCTATAAGATTTACAGAAACGTTGACCCCTCTGCATGGGTCTCTCGAACACTTTGCTGAAACATTTTTAAAACGTGGTTTAATTACCCACAATGGTGCCAGTCTCTGACACTAGAACAAGAATTGTTCTGCAGGTAGATGAATGGTTCTGCAAGGAAGAGCGACTCCAGCTATGTGGACTGGAGTCCATTTTCCCTGAAACTTAAATGAGAGCAAGGGAAGAGCATATCCAATTTTAGCACAAGTGAAGGGGACTTTTAGCTTATTGGACACCGAACTCCCACAAATAAAAATTGTGATGCTTTCCATTTTGAGTCTCACAGTATTGTACAGTTCTACTGCACAGAAGGGGAAAGCAAAGGGGGAAAAATACGAGTTGACAGTCATTTTGTCATCAACAAGTAAAATGCAATACTTAGAAAAATCGAAAATTCTGTTAATATTTACCCCCTCCATTCAAATCTCTTCTTATAATTCACTCCTGCAAAGCTTGTCAGTGCTAATCCATTGAAAGATAGTGTGCGTCTTGTGTATTATATATAAAGACCACGTTAGAGGAACAATATCCAGGTTGCCAAATAAAGCAGTCGAAGTTAGGAAATGTTGCATTTATGGTTGCCCGTTCAATCTTAATTCTGCTGCCTTTTGTGTCTGTCATGTGCACTGAATGATACAGGAGTCCTCTGGAAAAAATAGTGTGTGCTCATATAATGTATCGTAGTGCAAACACACACGGGTAGAATTAAGGCATTATTCATGAGTGAAAAACATTATAATGGAAACAACTACATAAATAACAAGAAATCCACAACACAGACTTCAATATCCTGCTTTTTGCAGCAAATTGTGCTCACTGTTATGCCATTACTCTTCCCTCCCCTGCCATGATGTGTGGGCTTTTGGTCTAACTTCAGTTTTAAGAGAGGGATCATGAGTAAAATTTTCAAATGTGCCCCAATCCCACTGACTTTCAATATGACAGGCTCCTAAGTCTTTTTTGAAAATGGAACTGAGACACTTCTGAAAATTTGAAGTCCTTTTTTCAAGAGGGACTTAGGAGCCTAAGACACAGTGAGAGTCAGTGGGATTTAGACACTTCTGAAAATTAACTCTTCATGTATGCCTGTAAAGCACCATGCACACCAATGGCATGATAGAAATAACAGTAACACTACATTGCTCTCAAAACCAATGAGATGCTCTGCTTTTGGCTCTAGAGATGCATATGGTCCCTGTGGAGTCTATGGGCCTGATCAGAACTCCTCTTGCTCTGCCCAATATTATCAGGCAGAACAAATGAAGCTCTTAATGCAGGAATGTTTCCTGCATTTGTGGACTTTAGCAGGGCAGCAAAGACAGGAATATTGAGCAAACTTACTGGGGTCACCAGGATCCCTCTTTGTGTCTCCAGGCAGCAGGAGAAGCTATGGAAGGGAGAATATCTGGAGTTCTCGAGATCCACAAAATCATTACATTGTGATGTCCTGACACTGTGGATTGATGTTGCATCAAAGTGTACTGGTGTAATATCATGAGACAAGTGTGATGATGTGCCAAGATCACTTTGAGGAGCTGGAGGGCCACAAAGCTCCATACCAATGTCTTACTAGCCAGTCTTTCCTGGCAGCAATGTGATCATATGGTGGCAGGTATTTCTTAATCATCCAGTAGCAACGCATCAGTGAACCAATTTGTGTCCTCTTAATACCCTTAAAACACTAGTTCCTTCATAATAGGCAAGACCCTGCCAGCCGGATTTAAATCTTACTTTGTTTCTATTGATTCATACAAGAAACTGCTTCTTCAGTGCTGAGAAGGAATACTGGGAATATTCATATTTGAATAACTTTTAACTAGCAATATTTAATACATTAACAATAAATCTCGTTTATATTCTGAATTATGTGGATTTACATCTGAGTAGGTGAGATGAACAGAAGATCTGTTAAAATATAAACAAGACAGAAAATTGGGCTAAAGAATTTTGGAACAAAGGACATAAGAAACGTAAAAGTCCAATATTTTCCTCCTCCAACAACGTAGAAGAAACAGTGTTATGCTGTTCTGTACGGCCAGCATTGTGCATGTTGCCTCTCTTCAGAAACAAGCTGAAAAGTGCTCAGTTAAATTAAAAAATGTTTTTAAATAGCTTGTATGATGTTGCTGAGAAAATTTGGATGGGCAGTTCTCTAATGATCTATCAACCTTTCAGTTAGAAACAGTAATTGACCACAAGTTCTCCTTTGTGTGCTATGCTTCATGGCATAAGCTGGTTGCTTACAGGTGGTCAGGAAGGCATATTCTGTTCTCTCTCTCTCCCTCCTGTGCACCTTCCACCACACAGCATTGCGCAAATGGCTAATTGTTAGGGGTGGGGGGCGGGCGGGGGGATTTACCTTCCTCTGAGAAATCTGGTAATGGCCATTCATAGTGGGAATTCTTGATAATCAGGACTAGCAGTCTGATCTGTCTAGTTCTATGTTCCTAGTGATTTTGGTGTGGTGTATGCTTAAATAAGTCGTATGAATTCTTCCATGACTTGGATCAAAGTGTCTGGGTAAGAAGAGCTTCCCTACCTCTTTCTTCTCTGCTCTTTTGAATCCAGCATAACTCGTTTTGGGTGAAGGAAGGACTGGCTTTACCACTTGTGAGTTCTTAATACCTGCCCAGAGCTTCCTCTTAGCTGTACATTCCAACTATCTTCCAGCCAGCTGAAAATGCCAGTCCCTCACCCTCTTAGTGAAGGGGAAAGGATTGCCATCCATGGGTCTGTTTCAGGTAATTCCAGGGTTTGGAATGTATTTTACCTGTTTCCTGTTCTTTCTTTGGGGCGGTTTGGCACAGTGTGCCCTGGAGATGCGAGACTTCCCCTCAGCAGCAGGAGGCACACATTCAGAGAATGCTGGAGCTGCAGGAGGGAAGGGCCCAGTGCAACGACAGAGAGAGACAAAGAGAAAAAAGACAAGCAGACGGACAGCGGTGAGAGAAGCGTGCGGCAGAAAGTGCTTCAAAGCTGCCAGCAGCAGCAGGCCCCCTAGAGGAACTTGACAAGAGCCCAACTGTGTGTGTGTGAGCTCAGGATTTCTGTCAATGCATTCCAGTAACCCCAAAGTGAGGAACTCCCCATCAGGAAACACACAGAGGTGAGAAACTTCAGTGAACTGTTCTGGGTAGGGAGGGGGAGGTGTCCCTGCTCTACTGCAGTGTTATCCAAGGCCTGGGTCAAGCACTGGTGCTCTTTGTGCTTGCACTCCCACACAAAGTTCTCCCTGTGCGGCTGGCAGGAGCAGCATGGAACTGATTACCATTGCACAAGCCTTGTCCATGTCATTCATCTGCCTGTGCCAGACTTCATAGAATATTAGGGTTGGAAGAGACCTCAGGAGGTCATCTAGTCCAATCCCCTGCTCAAAGCAAGACCAACACCAACTAAATCATCCCAGCCAGGACTTTATCAAGCCGGGCCTTAAAAACCTCTAAGGATGGAGATTCCACCACCTCCCTAAGTAACCCATTCCAGTGCTTCACCACCCTCCTAGTGAAATAGTGTTTCCTAATATCCAACCTAGACCGCCCCCACTGCAACTTGAGACCATTGGTTCTTGTTTTGTCATCTGCCACCACTGAGAACAGCCGAGCTCCATCCTCTTTGGAACTCCCTTTCAGGTAGTTGAAGGCTGCTATCAAATCCCCCGTCACTCTTCTCTTCTGCAGACTAAATAACCCCAATTCACTCAGCCTCTCCTCATAAGTCATGTGCCCCAGCCCCCTAATCATTTTTGTTGCCTAGACTCTCTCCAGTTTGTCCACACCCCTTCTCTAGCAGGGGGACCAAAACTGGATTCAGTACTCCAGGTGTGGCCTCACCAGTGCCAAATAGAGGGGAATAATCAATTCCCTTGATCTGCTGGCAATGCTCCTGCTAATACAGCCCAATAATGCCATTGGCCTTCTTGGCAACAAGGGCATACTGCTGACTTATATCCAGCTTCTCGTCCACTGTAATCCCCAGGTCCTTTTCTGTAGAATTGCTGCTTAGCCAGTCGGTCCCCAGCCTGTAGCAGTGCATGGGATTCCTCCATTCTAAGTGCGGGACTCTGCACTTGTCCTTTTTGAACCTCATCAGATTTCTTTTGGCTCAATCCTCCAATTTGTCTCGGTCCCTCTGTATCCTGTCCCTACCCTCCAGCATGTCTACCTCTCCCCCCAGTTTAGTGTAATCTGTGAACTTGCTGAGGGTGCAGTTCATCCCATCATCCAGATCATTAATAAAGATGTTGAACAAAACTGGCCCAGGACCAACCCCTATGTCACTCCACTTGATACCGGCTGCCAACTAGACATAGAGCCCGACAATCTAACCAGCTTTCTATCTACCTTATAGTCCATTCATCCAATCCATACTACTTTAACTTGCTGGCAAGAATACTGTGGGAGACCGTATCAAAAGCTTTGCTAAAGTCAAGATATATCCTGTCCACTGCTTTCCCCATATCCACAGAGCCAGTTATCTCTTCATAGAAGGGAATCGGATTGGTCAGGCATGACTTGCCCTTGGTGAATCCATGTTGACTGTTCCTGATCACCTTCCTCTCCTTCAAGTGTTTCAAAATGGATTCCTTAAGGACCTGCTCCATTATTTTGCCAGGGACTGAAGTGAGGCTGACCGGTCTGTAGTTCCCTGTGTTCTCTTTCTTCCCTTTTTTAAAATATGGATACTATATTTGCCTTTTTCCAATCGTCCAGGACCTCCCCCAATCGCCACGAATTTTCAGAGATAATGGCCAATGGCTCTGCAATCACATCAGCCAACTCCCTCAGCACCCTTGGATGCATTAGATCTGGACCCATGGACTTGTGCATGTCCAGTTTTTCTAAATAGTCCTTAACCTGTTCTTTCACCAATGAGGGTTGTTCTCCTCCTCCCCATACTGTGTTGCCTAGTGCAGCAGTCTCAGAGCTGACCTTGTCTGTGAAGACGGAGGCAAAAAAAACACCAAGTACTTCAGCTTTTTCCACATCATCTGTCACTAGGTTGCCTCCCCCATTCAGTAAGGGTCCCACACTTTCCCTGACCACCACCTTGTTGCTAACATACGTGGAGAAACCCTTCTTGTTACCCTTCACATCCCTTGCTAGCTGCAACTCCAATTGTGCCGTGGCCTTCCTGATTACACCCCTGCATACTCTAGCAATATTTTTATACTCTTCCCTAGTCATCTGTCCAAATTTCCACTTCTTGTAAGCTTCCTTTTTTAGTTTAAGCTCACTGACGATTTCACTGTTAAGCCAGGCTGGTTGCCTGCCATATTTGCTATTCTTTCTGCACATCGGTATGGTTTGTTCCTGCTCTCTCAATAAAGCTTCTTTAAAATACAGCCAGCTCTCCTGGACTCCTTGCCCCCTCATATTAGCCTCCCAGGGGATCCTGCCCATCAGTTCCCTAAGGGAGTCTAAGTCTGCTTTTCTGAAGTCCAGGGTCCGTATTTTGCTAATCTCCTTTCTTCCTTTTGTCAGGATCCTGAACTCAGCCATCTCATGGTCACTGCTACCTGGGTTGCCTCCCATTTCTACTTCCCCTACCAATTCTTCCCTGTTTGTAAGCAGCAGGTCAAGAGGAGCACAGCCCCTAGTTGGTTCCTCTAGCACTTGTACCAGGAAGTTGTCCACCAACACGCTCCAAAAACTTCCTGGATTGTCATTACTGTATTGCTCTCCCAGCAGATATCAGGGTGATTAAAGTCCCCCATTAGAACAATCATTCTCCATTGACTTGGAAGAGGAGAAGTTTGGAGGAAAAGCAATGCACTGGATGTATCATGTGCTTGACAGCACACCTAGGTTTGATCCTGCACCCTTGGGGTCAGCAAGAGCTGATAGTAACTTGGAGGGAGTGCTTCTGAGTCAGCTGTCTGACCAACTGAAGGAGCAACATGGACAGGCTCCATAGTGAGGCTTGCTACAGTGCACTGCCTTTTGGGCTGGGGGTGAGGGATAAAATGAGCTCCCAGCAGATCCATGCAGAAGAAAGGAGGAGGGATGACAGTGACTAGACTAAAGGGAGGAAGGAAGACTGTAATTGAGTGGAATCTAAGGAGACAAAATAGTTTTAGGATGTAGTTTGTGTAATGGGTCAGTGGGTGGGAAAAGACTGTTTTTGAGTTTCTTTTGGTAAACTCTAATGCAGTCTCCTTTACCCCATTTTGCAGGAGTGTGTGTGGAGATAGTATCCTCCTCTTTCCCCATTCAAAGGCAGCTTATAGCTGGTTTAATTGTTTTCATGGTCAGAGGTTTGTATTTTCCTGGCGAGTTTCCCTGATCTGTGATGAGTGCTGCAATAATGCTGGGTTTTCCTTATGCTCTCTTGGGCTGGCTTGTGGTGGGTTTCTCTGCTCTGTGATCACAGCTGTACTGTGTCATTTGGGTCTGGATGGGTAGTGTGGTGAACTTTGTGGTGCCCTGTTTGTTTACTTTGAGCTGGTCTTGGTGTGAGATGCTTTTCTGTGTACATAGAAACCGTTGTCTTTATTGACAGAAGCCCCAGAGGTAGCTCCTCATGTGACTGAGCAGTTCCTGGGATCTGGCAGGCCTGCTGCTTGTTCTTGTGCCTCCTTGAGCACTGTGATCCCATATTGGATAATAACCCTTTCTAGGCATGTTTGAAAAAGCAGCTGGATGAAACCAAGCATGTAGGCATTTCTTACTCGGCAGTAACTGCCTTGCTCGGTAAAGGTGGCATCAGCAGTGGTTGCTGCTGCTGCTTCTCTCTAGTGCATTCCCACCAGAGTGAATCGACAGTCTAATCTCTATTTTTAATTCTCTTTTTTTCAGTAGCCCCAAATCAAAGCAGGAGGTGATGGTCCGTCCCCCCACAGTGATGTCCCCGTCTGGCAACCCCCAGCTGGATTCCAAATTTTCCAACCCGGGTAAACAGGGGGGCTCAACCAGCCAATCCCAGCCCTCTCCCTGTGACCCCAAGAGTGGAGGTCACCCCCCCAAAGTGCTCCCTGGCCCAGGTGGGAGCATGGGGTTGAAGAATGGGGCTGGAAATGGTGCCAAGGGGAAGGGAAAGAGAGAGAGGAGCATTTCAGTGGATTCCTTCGAACAGAGAGATGCTGGGACTCCCAGTGATGATTCGGAAATCAAAGGTAAGTGCTAAGTATTGGTGTGAGATGATCATTTGACTTGTGGGTGTTAGCAAAAGCATGTCTGCCTGAGGTGGTGACTGTGTTCAGTTGAAGTACAGCCCTGATTAGGATTGGAAAGTTGTTTCATGCTAACACATGCTAAACTCCCCAAGAAGTTTTGGGAAAATACATAAAAGCTGTTCGTCTCCTTCCACCCCACTCTGTCCTTTGGCCTCCCAGGAGCTTCTGTGTTTGAATCGGAGTATCAAAGCCAGCATGCAAGCCAGTTTTGTGAATACAGACAAGTAAGGTGTATTGGGTGATGATAATCACTTACACCTCTGTGACTGGTAGGAACACAGGACTGGGAGTCAAGACTTCTGGAGTCTGTTCTGGCTCTGCCACTGATTCATTGTGAGACCTTGGACGTGTCCTTTACCCCACTCTTTAATTTCCTAACCTGTGAAATTAGGTGCAGTATAAATAGCTGCTACTTGTGTTTCTCAGTTGTGATATTTGATTAATTGCTCTGAGATCGCCACATGAAAGGTGGCGCAGAAGTGCAAAGAATTATTACTGCCTTGTGATATTAGGTCTTCCAGAGTTTGCATTTGATAGACGCCTTGACAGAGTGGCAACAAGAGAGCTTTGGCTGTAAAAGACCTAGGTCCAGTTTGAGTTCGTTTCCAACTGGTGTGATTAGAAGCTGTGTGGTCAGTTTGACAGTATAGCAGACTAGGGTTCAGGTGGCATGAGTAAGGAGAGAAAAAAGGTCTCATATAAAACTTCCCCCACCTTACAAGAACTTCAAATGCTTATCTGCTTGTGTGTGTGTCTCATATATGCTGTTTGACCTAGTCATTTGTGAATGCTAGGAAACTAGCTAGAGCTGAGACAGTATGAATTTCCTCTCAGCGGTGCCTGCAGAGTTTTTTGGAGTGTGAGGGGGAATCATGGTGTAACAGGACAGCTTCCTTAGTACTAACTGGGAGAGGAGTCTGAGCCTTCTTTATGGGAACGTTGGGTATCGTGATGCCAACTGAGAGTCAAGGGTGAGAGAAGTATCAAACTTCCTCACAGCTTCAACACTGGTGAGACCTTCCCTCCTCCCCCCGATCCCTTCTTCCTTTCCAGACTGCAACTCTGCCGACCATATGAAGACCCAGGATTCCCAGCATACGCAACACTCCGTGACTCCTTCAACTGCTTCAGCCCCAAGGTCTTCCACACCCTCCCATGGCCTGACTGCCACTTCGGAGCCAGCTAGTGGACAAAAGACTCCATCCAAAGTGGTTTATGTCTTTTCTACTGAGATGGCCAATAAGTACGTAAATGTGTCCTTCATGTCTTTCCCTCCATTTGTGTTTTACCTCATTACATTAAATTCAAAAGCATGTTTTCCTCCTTCAAATCCTTTGTGGGGTGGGTAGCCATTTACAGATCATGGGGGAGCATTACTGACACGTAGCCGTGGATGAGGATTTTCAGTTTCTTCCACCTAGCCTTGTTTTTGGCAAATGTTGGCAGACAGCCTGTTTCATGAGCTACACAGTGGATGGTTTAGGGATGGGTTAAACGGTGACACGAACCCTAAATACTGATTAGCAAGATTCTGTAGATGGGAGGATTTTTCTTCTCCTTTGATTTCTCTTCTCCCAGACCTCTGGGGTCAAAAGACAGGTGGCTCAGCCTTTTGCTTTCCTTTTCTCCCTGCCCCTAGTAGTTGGGAGAGAGGGGGATTTAAGAAAGATAATCATCCAACTGCAGCCTCACCAATGTCTGTCTGTCTTTACAGGGCTGCAGAAGCTGTGCTGAAGGGACAGGCAGAAACCATTGTGTCCTTTCATATCCAGAACATCTCAAACAGCAAGGCAGAGCGAAACACTCTACCCCTGGTAGGGAGCCTTTACTTGGTAGAAGGGGGAGATGGAGTGGTGTGCACATGCGTGGGGGAGGGTGAGGGAGGGTGACTCCTTACGCTCTGAAAAGCATGTTCTTGGCTGGAGGGAGCACTGTGCAGAATTAAAGGATTCAGTGCTTCCAGAGTAGTTTTCCAACTTTATTATAATTGGGTGGAGTCGTTCTGGTGATATAGGAGAGAGGTGCAAACATCATCGTTTGGGTCTGTGGGTGACACATGAGTGAAATGAACATTTCATCTTTGTCCAAGACTCTAGTTTGCAAATTATATGTGAAAGGCACGAGTTCCTACAGAAAGTGTTCATAGCAGGTTTGTGTGACTAAGGTGGGGACGAGACAGTGCATCTTGATCTTTATCCCTCTCACTCTATTCACAGAGATGTAAAAAGAGCTGATTAAAATGTTCTGCTTTGTCTTTCAGAACACCCAGGTTTCTGCACTTCGAAATGAAACCAAGCCTCTGCCACAACCTCAGCCGCAGCCCCATGCTTCACAGGAACACAATCCTCCCCAGAATGCCAAAATACAGCCAACTCCACCTGTTTCGGCACCAGCATCGAAATCTGCTGGCCCCCCGTGTCCCATGGATCAGGACAGTCCTGGAGTAGAGAGTAAAGTGATGTCTGTTGGCAGCCCTTCCAACTCCACCCCATTGCAGACTGAGGGATTTGGGCAGAGTTCAACCCCAAATAATCGAGCAGTCAGCCCAGTCTCCCAGGGGAGCAACAGTTCCAATGCAGACCCCAAAGGTCCCACCCAGCAGGTATCCGGTGGTGACCCATCCAGTTTAGGCGAGAACCCAGATGGACTGTCTCAGGAGCAGCTGGAACATCGAGAGCGCTCATTGCAAACTCTACGAGATATACAGCGCATGCTTTTCCCTGATGAGAAAGAATTCACTGGAGGGCAAAGTGGGGGGCCTCAGCAGAACTCTGGAGTTCTGGATGGTCCTCAAAAGAAACCTGAAGGGCCAATACAGGCCATGATGGCTCAGTCCCAAAGTTTAGGCAAAGGGCCAGGACCTCGGACAGATGGAGGGGCTCCATTTGGCCCTCAAGGACATAGAGACATGCCCTTCTCACCAGATGAAATGGTGCCACCGTCTTTGAACTCTCAATCTGGACCCATAGGACCAGACCACCTGGATCATATGACTCCTGAGCAAGTGGCCTGGCTGAAGCTACAGCAGGAGTTTTATGAGGAGAAGAGAAGGAAGCAAGAACAGGTTGTGGTGCAGCAGTGTTCCCTGCAGGACATGATGGTCCACCAACATGGGCCTCGAGGTGTGGTTCGAGGCCCCCCACCTCCCTATCAGATGACCCCTGGTGAGGGCTGGGGTCCTGGCGGTCCAGAGTCCTTTGCTGATGGCATGAATGTGTCTCATTCTCTACCCCCCAGAGGCATGGCCCCTCATCCCAATATGCCTGGGAGCCAGATGCGCCTGCCTGGATTTGCAGGAATGATGAATCCTGACATGGACAGCCCCAGTGTCCCAAACCCCACATCCAGACCTGGGCTTTCAGGAGTCAGTTGGCCAGAAGATGTGCCAAAAATCCCAGATGGCCGAAACTTCCCTCCAAGCCAGGGTGTCTTCAGTGGTCCTGGCCGAGGGGAGCGGTTCCCAAATCCCCAGGGCCTGCCAGAGGAGATCTTTCAACAGCAGTTGGCAGAGAAACAGCTGGGCCTGCCCCCTGGCTTGAGCATAGAAGGCATCAGGCCTGGCATAGAGATGAACCGGATGATTCCCTCCCAGAGACACATGGAGCCTGGGAATAACCCCATCTTCTCTCGCATGCCTGTTGAAGGGCCCCTGAGCCCCTCCAGGGGGGACTTCCCAAAAGGAATGCCACCTCAGATTGGCCCTGGTAGGGAGCTGGAGTTTGGGATGGGCCCTGGGAGCATGAAGGGGGACATAAGTCTGAACGTTAGCATGGGCTCCAACCCATCTATGATACCTCAGAAGATGAGGGAAGCTGGAGTGGGGCCAGAGGAGATGATGAAACTGCGTCCAGGTGTGTCAGAGATGCTCTCTTCTCAGCAGAAAATGGTGTCATTGCCATTTGGAGAGCATCCCCAACAGGAGTATGGCATGGGTCCCAGGCCTTTCCTTCCTATGTCTCAGGGCCCAGGAGGTGGTCTCCGTAATCTCAGAGAGCAGATTGGGCCTGACCAAAGGACTAACAACCGGCTCAGCCACATGCCGCCACTACCTCTCAACACAACCAGTAACCCGAATAGCCTCAACACAGCTCCCCCTGTTCAGCGCAGCCTAGGACGCAAGCCCTTGGATATCTCTGTTGCAGCTAGTCAGGTGCATTCACCGGGCATCAACCCTTTGAAGTCTCCCACGATGCGGCAGGTCCAGTCTCCCATGCTGGGTTCTCCCTCGGGGAACCTTAAGTCTCCTCAGACTCCATCCCAGCTGGCAGGAATGCTTGCAGGGCCAACTGCTGCAGCAGCTGCTGCTTCCATTAAGTCTCCCCCTGTTTTGGGATCTGCTGCTGCCTCACCAGTCCACCTCAAGTCTCCTTCCCTCCCTGCACCTTCTCCTGGCTGGACTTCCTCTCCAAAGCCCCCGCTGCAGAGTCCTGGGATTCCCCCGAACCACAAAGCATCTCTCACCATGTCTTCCCCAGCCATGCTGGGGAATGTGGAGTCAGGTCAGTGCTTCCTTTTCTATCCAAACGTAAATTCTTTGGTTCACATATGGTCATCTTGAAGTGTGACATGAGATGAGAGCTTAGAGGCTACGCAGTGTGCATTTGGGGTAGGGAGTGCAAAGAGGAGAGAGAACATGGAGTTTTTCCTGCCAGCTTGAAGCAGGTTGTGTCTAGGCTCAGAACTAAGTGAGTGGAACATGTGGGTGAGCTCCATAACAAATTGCCTCCTCTCATCTCCTCTTGCCCATGTGCACATGCTGAATACTGCCCTTGTCCCAGAGATGACAGTCAAGTATATTTGGATTGGTTGGGAGGAAAGAGAAGGGGAGGAGGAAGTCACTCTTTGCAGAAGAGCTTAGAACAGTTTGTTTGCCAGTCTGTTCTTATTGTAATATTGTAGCATTGGGGAGAAATGTTGCTGTTTAGATCATAAAGGTGCCTCAAAATAAACGGGTTTGTTAGGATAAAGGAGAAACAAAAGATACCTGTAGATAGATGTGTGCTGGCCATAGGAGCTATTGTTCACAATCTGTTCAGACACAGGTATAGTTTTACTTTACAAATTCTACTAGGAGGAGCTTTGTTGATACCAATTTGGATTTTGTCTATTTCATGTATAGTTAGAGGTAGCAGGTGGATTATCTACAGCTGCTCCTCAGAGATGTGCTGCAGGTCTGTGGGGTGGTGGTGGTATTGTTTTCTATTATCATAGCACCTGGGAGCCCCAGTCATGGCCTGGAATGCCTGGGGGAGGGACTACCAGTGCCTAGCACAAAAGACCGTACAATCTAAGAACAGATCGTTTGAATCCAGAAACCTATCTGTTTGGCATTTCAGCAGCACCAGTCTCCTCTTTCATAGATTCAGAGCTTATATGTGACTGAGTCTGTTTCTGCTACAAGCTTCCAAATATGTAAATCCCTGGTGTGCAGCGTTTCCATGCAGAAGCAGCAGTGTGATGGAACCAGCTCTCAAGAGGTTTTCAGCCTGTGAAACCTCCTCCTTATTGCAGGAGTTAGTGAGGAGACTGTGAAAGATGCATGACTACATTGCCCTCTAGTGTTGCAGAATGATAACTGTATTGAAAGGGACCAGCAGGCTTTGTCCCTGTTCAAAGTGACTGGACTGCTCCTGTGGCTCAGAAACGCATGTTCTAGTGAGTTTTGAGCTCCTGTGGCAGCAATGGTTCTCACTAGAGACACTTAATGTCCATTATATGCCAATAGCTGTCATTTAGCCGTCTTATTCTGAGTCGTATGCCTAGCATGTGCCACACTGGGAAGGAGGAAGAATCTGGATGCTTGTGTCTAGAGTGGCCTCTGAGGTGGAGTGTTAAATTGGCATTGAATCTGGGCTTGAATTGCTGCAATTAGACCCAGACTCTCTAATCTGTTACTACTTTTGTGCCTAGAGGAGTATTTAATATCAGAGGTTTTTTGGTGGTGGCTTTTGCTTGTCTTAAACTTCTTCCTGAAAGCAATGACCTCTTATCCAAAACTGGGCCAGGCATCTTGAAGCTTATTGGTGAGGAGACATGGGGACTGGGAGCAGCAGAAAATTGTGTTTACACCTTTGGAAGAGGGGGGGATATTTTACAGTTACAGTCTCAAGGAGTATCTTTCCCTATTAATTTAATGAGCTTTTATATGCAAGACTTAAGCTTAAATCAAAACAGGAAACTTTGTATAAACTTTTAATAGAGCTCTCCAGAAATTGGCATGGATGCCTGTAGTGTATGACCTACTATGGATGTATGTCCTCTGGTTTCTGTCTCTGTGCTCACATTTTGAAGCATAAATGGGAAAGTTTTTTTTTCCAACTAGTTGACCATGCTTCTGGAGTTAGTATTGTCTCCTTCCCAAAAGAAACCACATGGATAGAAATCCACTGTCTAGGAGTACAGTGTGTATTTCAACCATACTTATCTGGTTGCCTCACTGCTACTATTTGGATGGACTCTTGGAACCATTGAGGGGGTTTTCTGGGAGAAAAAGGGTTTATTTTAAAGGGGAGAAAAAGCAGCTAAACCCTTTCCTCTTTTAGGTGGCCCACCACCTTCCACTGTCAGCCAGTCTGCTCCTGTGACTCTCCCTGGAAATCTTCCCTCTAGCAGTCCCTACACAATGCCTCCAGAGCCCACGCTCTCCCAGAATCCCCTCTCCATCATGATGTCCAGGATGTCCAAGTTTGCCATGCCCAGCTCTACGCCACTCTACCATGATGCCATCAAGACTGTGGCTAGCTCGGATGATGACTCCCCTCCAGCACGCTCCCCAAATTTGCCACCAATGAACAATCTACCAGGTAAGGCAGCTTCCCAGCCAGCCTTCTGCACGCTCTGCTTCTGTTGGAGAATAAATGGTTGGAATGCTTCCCAGAAACATACACCCTCTTTTTATACAGAGGATGGAGCATGGTGACTGTCTGGCTTGTGCCAGAGTAAGGGGGAAGCTGCTCAGTTCCTTATCCAGGCATTAGGGGAGAAGAGAAATAAAAGCTCCTGTCCCTTTAGGCTTAGTGACCTGCTCTATAATGAGTGAAATGTGTTTACACTATAAGCCCCTACCCCAAATTGTTTGTTGTTCATAGGAACACAATAGAAATCTGTTGTGTTTTAAAAAAAAAAAAAAAAAAGCCAGTTGAAAAAGATAACTCTCAGCATGGAGTATGGTAACAGGCATTTGAAGACTTTGCCTGTAGTTTACTGGTTTACAGTCTGCCCAGGACAGTAGTGATTGGAGCTGATCACATACTTGAAAAAATGACTTGATGGCAAATTGCAGCTTTCATGGACTAATTAATTTGACCAGCTCTAACAGCAGTGAGAGCTGTCTGACTTGTAGGTACCATATGTTTGGAAGGGAGGTATTCAGTCCACTTGCAGTGGACAAATGTCTGTGTATGTTTATAAAACAACCCCCACCCCCTACACACACTTGCCACTAATTTTCCCGCTTGTTGACTGTCTTGACAAAATGGTCACAATATGGATTGGATCTAGAGTGACCTCTCCTCCTACTTTAAGAGCCCCGTTCAGTCCCATTGGAACAGTGTAAGGACAAGGTAGGGCTCCTGCAGCCCATGCTGTGTACATTTTATGGTTAAATAGAACAGTAGCCCTAGCAAGTGAAGTTTTGGCATCTTTCACTGGCACTAATTTTGTTTTTTAAATTGGAGCCAGGAACATTACACAGAGTTCTTCTATCTTCTTTGATTGTCTGATCTAAATATGATTCTTTGTTTCTTCCTTAGGAATGGGCATTAATTCCCAGAATCCTCGAATTTCAGGTCCAAACCCAGTGGGTCCAATGCCAACCCTTAGCCCAATGGGAATGACCCAGCCTCTTTCCCATACCAATCAGATGCCCTCTCCAAATGCTATGGGACCCAGTATACCTCCTCATGGGGTCCCTGTAGGACCTGGCCTGATGTCACACAATCCAATGATGGGGCATGGTTCCCAAGATCCTCCAATGGTACCTCAAGGACGCCTGGGCTTCCCACAGGGGTTTCCTCCAGTACAGTCCCCGCCCCAGCAGGTGCCATTTCCGCACAATGGCCCCAGTGGAGGACAAGGCAACTTCCCTGCTGGAATGGGCTTCCATGGAGAAGGACCTCTGGGGCGTCCCACCAACCTGCCCCAAAGTTCAACAGATCCAGCACTTTGCAAGACTGGAGGCCCTGGGGGTCCAGACTCCTTCACTGTTCTAGGAAACATGCCTTCAGTTTTCACTGATCCAGACCTGCAGGAGGTGATCCGCCCTGGAGCCACTGGAATACCAGAGTTTGACCTGTCCAGGATAATTCCATCAGAGAAGCCTAGCCAGACACTGCAGTATTTCCCTCGTGGGGAAGTTCCAGGCCGCAAGCAGCCGCAGGGTCCTGGGCCTGGATTCTCTCATATGCAGGGAATGATAGGAGAGCAGACTCCAAGAATGGGACTTGCATTACCTGGCATGGGGGGCCCAGGGCCAGTGGGAACTGCTGATATCCCCCTTGGAACTGCTCCATCTATGCCAGGCCATAATCCAATGAGACCACCTGCCTTTCTGCAGCAAGGCATGATGGGACCTCATCATCGGATGATGTCACCAGCACAAACGGCAATGCCTGGTCAGCCCACGCTAATGAGTAACCCAGTAGCTGCAGTGGGCATGATTCCAGGCAAGGACCGAGCCCCTGCTGGGCTATATAGCCACCCAGGTCCTGTTGGCTCACCTGGTATGATGATGTCAATGCAGGGCATGATGGGACCCCAACAGAACATCATGATTCCCCCCCAGATGAGACCCCGAGGTATGGCTGCTGATGTTGGAATGGGAGGATTTAGCCAAGGCCCTGGAAATCCAGGGAACATGATGTTTTAAGCTGCTACCATAAGACTGGATGTTCTGATCCTTGTCAAGATGAGATTCCAAGTCCTGACGGCTTTTGGGGAGCTTCAGGAGTACAGTTTGGCCATGCAATAGGTGAAAAGAGACCAGAGGATGCTTTGGGAAATCTCGAATGTATGGAATTTACCTGAAAACAGATTATTCATTTTAACAGGTTTTTTTTAAGATTTATTTTTTAAAAATTATTTTTGTGGACTTCAGTATCCCATGATGGCACCTGCTTTGAGAATCTGTAGCTGTATTTTGAGAATTGCCATTTGTCACAAGTTGCACCATTCTCTGTATGTTTACGTCCTTTGGACTGGCTTCTCCCAGGACTCTCGGTTATTTTTTGGGGCTTTTTTTGTGTACTGTACTATATTGTAAAAGGGATTTTAGCAGAGACTTTAGTCTTTGGGGTGAGAGGAGAATGGGATTCTAGGCTGTTTACTTTAGGTGGAGAATCCATCTTCAGAACTTCGGACTATTTTCCTTCAACTCCAATGTATAGAAAACCAAACTACGACCTCAGAGCAGAGTATTAATGAAAAGCACAAAAAAGGAACTTAAGTTCAGTGAGGGGAATCTTTTAAAAGAAATAATAAGTTAAGGACATATTTTTCAAATTATGGAGTGCTGTCCAGCACCTTCTGTCTCTCCCTCCCACTCCTTATTAAATAGGCTTCTCTCTCCGTCCCCTTCTGTCTCCTCCTTTGGCAGCTGCAATACAATGTATTATTTTGGGGAGTAAATCTAGAAGAGCCTCTCCTCGTGGGGAGTTTTCCCACTTTCAGGAAGGGGCTGGACTTGGACACTGTTACATTCTACAGTAGTCTCTCTCACTGTTTCCTATTCTCCTTTTCTTAGAAACCCCAAGTGATTTTATTAATGTGGGAGTGGAACAGACACTAAAAGTTATCCAGGATTTTTTTTGTGGTTATTTTTTTTCCTCCCCAGCGTAAGACGTTCTGTGTAACCTCCATTAAATTTGGTACAAAACCACTCGCCAGGGCTGTGGTGTCAGAAAAATAAAATATATTGTTTCTTACAAAAACGGACTTTTTTTTTTAATCCAGTCTAGTGGTGTCCTGTGTACTTCACATGACTGGCAAACTTTTCCTTGTTTGTTCCCTTATTAGGGTCACAACCATATTAGCTGCTAGATGGGACTAGCTTTTATATCTTATAAAAGGTACTGTATTGGTTGCCGTGTGCCTCTTTCAATTCACTTCTCCTGTACTCATTTTACCCGTCCTGAGCTGAACTTGATTGTTTCTTTGAGTTTGGCATTATCTCAGAGGGGCAGACCTGAACGCTGGAGATGGTATCCACAGCCTCTTTCAACACTTTGAGGGCTGGAGAATTGGTTAAAAACTCTCTCCTGCTTCTGGACATCCTTCTGGGTTAGTGGTTCTTGGTCCACTGCAAGGCAAGTGTCTCCTTTCTGTTGCAACTGGGAGAAGGTCTGACGCTGTTTGCAAAGTCTGTTCACTGCCAAAGTGTCTCTGCCCAAAGGGCAACACTCAATGGTTCTTTGTCACACTGGGTTGCTGATGAGTGAGGTGGGGTTTCTGACTTGTGGATTAGAGGCTAAGGTAAAGGGGAAAGAACTAAAATAAATGACAAAGGTGATAGATAAATTCTCAGTGAGTAGATTTTTTAACGAAACAGCCCGACTGGGTAAATTGTTGCCTTGCTGCTCTTTCATTGATCCATGTCTAATTCCATCTCTGCTTTTTTCAAACCTTTTTGAGAGAATTTCAGCAATCAAGTTTTTTGTCACGTGCATGGGGAGGAGAGACTGGATACTAAAACATAGTCCTTTCTCCTGAGTAAAACTGCAGTTTATTCTCAAATCCTCCTCCTGCTTTGTTTGAAGGAATGAGGTAGACTTTATTCATACAAGCTTGGCTGCTCTTTCTCCGTAGTAACGTGGGAGGAAACATTCTGCTATTCAGATTCTCATTTCAAATCTCTGCACAGCCTGATGGTGAAAAAGCCCAAAAGGTAACCCCCAGATGGCCGGTTAGCTCAGTTGGTTAGAGCGTGGTGCTAATAACACCAAGGTCGCGGGTTCGATCCCTGTACGGGCCACACCTTTGAGGGGGGAGGGATAGCTCAGTGGTTTGAGTATTGGCCTGCTAAACCAAGGGTTGTGAGTTCAATCCTTGAGGGGGCCATTTGGGATCTGGGGCAAAAATTGGGGATTGGCCCTGCTTTGAGCAGGGGGTTGGACTAGATGACCTCCTGAGGTCCCTTCCAACCTTGATATTCTATGATTCTATGGTGAACTTCTGAAACTTAATGGTAACATCCCTGCTATATCACAAATGCATGGTAAATATTTGAAATCTGTTTAAAGTCGTAGACTGTGGTATTGCAGACAGTTCATTTGTAAAGTACACATGCAATTCTCAGTATCAGGGTCTAAAAGACAGTATATTCTCTGGGTTGCAGACCATATAACAGGCTAGCTAATCTACTCAAGAACCATGCAAGTGAGGATCTGTATTTTGCATACAAATTCTCCTACCAGCTAGCTTTGTATCTGTCTTCTGGTGGTACCCACTGAGTGATGCTTCAGAAGATTTACAACATTCTTTATGCTCTTGGGATCTAACCTATGTTGAATCAGAAGGTACTGGGACAGGTTACTGCCTGAGTGGCATCAGTGCCTAAGCCGCATTCTTTGATATGAATTTAGGCATCCTCATATCTTTCTTTTCTTAATGATAAATGTGACTCCTAGACAAATTATCTAGACCTCTTAAATATAGCGTCTGTTCTGATGAACTGCTAAGGCACTGTAAGCCACAGATTGCAAATATGTTGCATAAAAGATTTAATTTAGTCAATAAGCGCAGCACCAATAATTTAATCAAGAATCTGCTTGTTCTCTAACAGCAGAAAGAGGTGCAGCTGATTAATTTTCACTACACTTCATAATTTTGAATACATCCATCATGTCTAATGTAAATGTTCTTTTCCACATGTAATCTTTACACACTCATGTCTTCACACATAATTAAATATATGCAGTTGTCCTCTGCCAAATTTATTCACTATTTGATTTTTCTTGAAGAGAGATGAACAAAGTTGAAGGCAAGACTCCAAGTTAGAGAAGTACCATGGTCTGCTACATCAACTTGGTAGCAGCGACTCTTAAAAGATCTCATCTCATGTCTGCCGTTTGCCTGTTCCCTTCATTCTCTTCCCACTTTCAGCAGTGGATCCTCCAGGTTCAAAGCTGTCCAATGTAGATAATTTACAGTATTTTTATAGCTGCCTATTGTAGACATGACACTTCAATACCTTGTGCCATATATTGTATTTTAAACAGCTGGAGTGTCTCTCTTTAATCCTTTAAAGAAAACTCCACTAACATTTACTGTGTTGGAGCCACAGGCTCCACTTCAACTCAGTATCAGCTTCTCCTCCTCTAATGAAACTTCCACGCCAAGTTTTAAGACATTCTCCCTACTAACGCCTCAGCATGAAAACCAGTTCTTTACTTTACTTTAACCGCTTGTTGCGCACCATCTTTAAATCAACATTGGATATGTTTTCCCCATAGTTATTATTCTTAAGTTTGAAGGACTTCTAGTTTTAAAAAAAAAAAGCAAACAAACCCGTCTGATGCTGCATTGAGGGGGAGATGGACTGGATGCCCTAAATGAACTTGTATTACATTAAGGCTTAGTTTTCCTTTATAGAAATTTCTCAGTTGATCATATTAGATTCAGTAATTGGCTTTACTAGTGTATCCTTAGACATACATTGCATAAACTGTAAGTAGCAGGATTCCTTTTTCTTGACTCTTGTAGAGAGAAGCCCTGTTCTGGAGTTGATGACTTTGAAAAATAATATCCATGTTAGCATAAATACCTCTGCTACTTCATACCTGTATTTGCTTTTTAGCAGTTGGCAGTATCCTCCAGTCCTGTAGACTTCAGCTCTTAACTTCCTCCTTTGGTATTTGTCTTTGTTTAAAACTACACTCATCTCCCATCAGAATTCCTTTCAAAACTATTATTTATAGTGGCTACAGGTCTGCTAGACATTAGATAGCTCTATAGGTCTTGGACAAAGCCCCCAGCACAAAGTGCCTTTGTAGTGCTCCTGTTGCATCACTTCTGGCTGAGTGTTGTGCAGAAGAATATTACTGCTAGTCATAGACAATGAGCAAAGACAAGGGCAACTTCCTCAGCAGATCTTGGCTTAATTCTTTCATCACACCATCACCCTTCTGTTCTAATCTTGGGTTTATATTGGAGTTGTCATACTGAATTAGTCCATTTAGTCCAGTATCTTGTCCGACAGCGGCCAGTGCCAGAAACCCCATATATAACATTATGGAATAACCTGTTGAGAGCTGAAGCATGAGGGTTTTATACTTTTTCTAAGATGTATTTTATCCTACCTAGGGTAAGTGGTTCTTTTCATTAGCTGTATAGTCCTTCAAAATCTGCCTGTGTTCTTGAGAGTATCTTGCGCCAAGGGGTTCCACAGAACTCCTTGTTCAATTTCACTAGATGGTATCTTGTTGTTCTATGATGAGGGTAAACGACCTTATATTTTACCTTCTGTACAGCTTTAGTTATTGTATAGACTTCCTATAATGTCCCCTTTCCTGATAGTCCTCATCGCTTCAGTCCCCACATAAATAATCTTTATGGCTGTAATCACTTCCATTGCTCTTCTTAGAATGCTTTCTGCTGTCATTCTTGAGCTAGTGGGCCCAGAGCTGAACACAGTGATCCAAATGAGGGTGTACCATTGACTAATATATGTTCAGGAGGTGTAAGAAGTTAATTGCAGTTAACACATGATTAATTCAAAGTAAATTAAAGTTTTTTTTTTTTTTGGATGTATGCTAATTGCATACCTCTGAGATAGGGCTTGTGGGGAGGGAGACATGGCCAGTCTTAAGGATGTGGGGGGGGCACTCTAACTGGTGTATTCCTAGAGTGCTCTCACTGAGTACAAGCTGCCATGATCCTTCCCAGTTTGTGAAATCTGCAAGTATAGGCTAGAGTAGTTCACTAAACTTCCCTGTGAAATTGAGACATCAAATTCACCTAAGCATTCATTGTGTATATTCCCATACTTAACCTTGGCTTGGTGTAGTTATATGCTCAAAGCAGGCAAATTTCCATATGTATCATGATAGTAGAAAGGGGATTCAGCAGCCTCTTTACTGCCTTGGAAATGGGAGAGGTCTGCATGGACCATATACATTATCAATGGACTAGACTACTTTGAGCAAACATGCTGCTTGGGACTTAAGGTGAGATGAAGAAGGGAAGATAGCTTCTGGGCCGAGCATGGCTGCTATGGTGGGGAAAAAGAGGCAACAGTCTACATTGCTTTCAATGGAGGCACCCTGGAGAGTGTCATCTCTAGAAGAAGATAATCTGACATACTCCAGCCTTCTGCTATTAGGGAGCAGGTGCGGGGGGTGATGATTTCCCTTCTATGTCCACAGCAGCAGATCAGGCCAAAGCTTCTGTCTTCCTTCGCTATCTTCAGAGTGAGAGACAGTCTCTAACTGCCTTTGTATTTTGACAGTAGTTCATACTGGCAGATGCACTACCCAGATGTGAGGTTGAGTTACTCTATATTACACACACTACCTCCTCTTGCTGCAAATGCATGAGTTAGCAGCAGTGCATACCAGACCGGCGGAATCCTGCATCTGGAACGAACAGGTCTAGTCACCTTCATAGCAATTTGTTGGATGGAGAGAGGGAGGAAAGAGTTCAAACACCAAAGGTTGTAGGCAGGAAACTGAGTTTTATTTTAATACTACTTATGAATTAGTTTGCTAGTTCTCCATCTGGGAGCAAAGGACACTGTACTTCTCTGGACTTACAGCATAGTGGGATAGAGCATTTAGAAATTCCTCCAGTGGGCAGAGAGCTGCTCTGCATCCTCTCACCAATTGTTCCTGCAGAGAGACAATCAAGTTTACACCCATTTAGTAAATGACATGCTTATGTTGCCAAAACCCCTTTTGTATGATCTCAAACAGATGATGAAGCAGAGGATAAAGAACTTTGCCAAAAGGTCCCACTGAATCAGTGGCCAGGCCAGAAAGATAATTAGGCTCCTCCCTACTCATCTTGTGGGTGAGTATTTTAATTATGTTCCCTCTGACAGCCGAAATCTCTTATTCCACAGCTTAGTGTGCTGGAAATCTGCTGCAAGACCTAG